ATGCAACAGTGCAGTTAGTATGACCACAATGAGTATATAAATGAGTGCCACTACCCCCCCCCCCACCCCCCACCCCCCGAGAGCCACGGCCTCTGTGGGTACTACCACTGTTGCCATTAGAGACAACAAAGGTTGAACGATCAGTAGAAGGACCATAATCAATGGTGGAAGAAGAATGAGCATCAGATAGGATAGCATGCAATAAGCGGAAAAAGACCTCGGTAACGGATGGAAGGTTGGGACCACCCAAGATCTAGGCATAAATAGGTTCATAATTTAAACAAAGCGACAATATTCAAATCCTCACGTTGTCGCAGCCAAATTCAAGCATCAGTGGTGAAAGGATGGTAAATCCTCAATTCCTCACAAACTTCCCGAACTTGGGAATAATAGTCCTCTAAACATAGAGTACCTTAGTAAAAGCGAAAATATTGCTCGCATACTTCATAAACATGAGTAAAATTACCGGTGCTAGAATACATGATTGCCAAATGATCCTAGATGCCTTTGATAAAATCGAGATAAACAATGTAGAACTAATATGAGGCTCAACGTTGGTTAACAGTAGGAATATAATCTATGCATCCTCTTGTATCCACTGATCGAACCGAAGGTCACTTTCCTTGTGTTTTGCTTCTACCAAATATTTTTTAAGGCCTTTACCTTTAAGAAATACTTGAACCGAGCAGGACCATAAAATATAATTAGTCTCATTGAGCTTGATTGAAGTCATTGGAGCATTAAAAAGGTCAGCATGGGAAAGTGTGGGTGGTATGATGGGGGCAAGAGGTGGAGTATCAGTCTTAGGCTCTATAGGAATATCACAGACATGGAGACAAATCAAACAAAATTAGATCACGTCATCTGAATAGTGCAAAAAGGTCAACAGTAAGAAAATCCGGGGTGAAATGTAAAGAGAACCCAACAAGGAGGGTTGAACCGATGCCAAAGGAGCCTTTGAACCAGCTGGAAAGCCTCGGAAAGAACTGAACTGGCGCAACCGGGACCTGAACCGGTCTAAACAGGAGCTGAATCAGCTAGAACCAGAGTTGAACTGGCCTGGAACCCTCAAAGTCGCTGGAAACAACAGAAACCAGGGTGAACCAGTTATAAAACCACCTGAATCAGACTGAACTGGTTCTAAAACTACCTCTTACCCGACATAAACTCATTGGAAACGGCATAAGCGTATTGGAAACCCACGGAACTGAATTGAACAGAATGAACCGGCCTAGAAGGGACCTGAACCGGCTGGAACCTCAATAAGTCGGCTAGGCTGGACCAGAACAAGATGGATGGGCTTGATCAGATGCACTTAGGCTGGACCTGAATAGGATGGATGAGCTTGATGGCTTGGGCTAGCTTGATAGTGGGCCTTGGCAACAAATCTGGCTTGGGCTTTTGTTAATGAATTTAGCACGTGACCCTTTCGACCCAAAATTTGACCCGAACACCTTGGATGTTGTCTTCTCCACTACAATGGGTTCAACGAAACCTTAGGGATTGAAGGAAGGCTCATTGTATCGATGCCACCCCTCGATCACCACAACCACACCATTCCTTTAACAACAACAACTGCACCACAGACTACCAGTGACCACAAATGACACAACCAACTCAATCGAAGATCATAGAACTTCGACAAACAACTTTGGCATCGACAACAGCACACACAAGATCACCGGCGACCACAACAGCACACCCAACAAGGTTTCCAGCGATAGAATACTACCTGAATCGATTTTTAACACTCGATTCGATTGCAGCACCTCAAGTTCAACGGACGAACATACACAAATTGTGACTTCGATGTTCAACCATCACCCCCGACCTTAACCCATGGTCATGGGTTGCATGGTATACAGAACCAGCGATGAAAAAAAAGAAAAGAGAGCGGGAAAGAAAGAAAGAGGAAGGGAAGAACAAGAATCCAGCTCAAATTTTCATTATCAAATTTTGGATTAATAATCCCATGTTACTATGTTAAGTTTAAAGGAATTAAGAGAATGAATACAATATGAGGGAGACAGAGAGGAGGCTAACGTACCCTACATCTCTCTATCAATTGGTATTTATATTTATCTAATAAAACACAAAAGACTAGTATACCCTTAGAGTCGTATACCCTCAACAAAGTGCACCGAGGAAAGAGAGTTGTACAAGTTGTCCAACACCAAACATGTAACACAAAAAAAAAATGGAAAAGACAAGTGTAATAACAGTAACAAAATAGCACAAAGAGGGCTGAAACTTAAAGGCCGCATGCACTATCACATCTCCGACTACAAATCACGAGAAGCTTTTCACCCTGGTATATTGCAAAATAAGGGAATGCCTTTAGAATCCGTTGAAACTAATGCCTAGAACAATGCCAAAAAATACATTCACTCTCATTATCCATCATTCGTTTCACATTTTTGTTCAAACATTTTGTGTTTCTTTCCAACCAGCTAGTCCAAATTGTGGCAAAGGCAACACAAGTCCAAAGAGTAGCCCCATTCTTCTTCTTCTTCGAAAATCGTTATAGTTTACATTTCACAATTAACATGGAATAAATAGAACAAGGAGTAACCCAACTCATTCCTGCCAAGCTAAACAATTTGTTCCACGACGATAATGCAATAATGCAATGGAAAAATAAGTGATCCACATTTTCAATGTCGCACCGACACATAACGCACCACTGTGGAGATATTTAAGCAAGAGATCTTCTCCTTTGAAGCATGTCATTGGTATTAATCCTACCATTAGCTATGGTCCATGTGCACATTTTCACTTTAATGGGCACCTTAGCCTTCTAATTCATGAAAGATGGATCAAAAAGTGAACGTAAAGGATTATCAATCAATGAGTCAACGAAAGACTGGTGAGAGAAACTACACAAAACATCAATAACCCAAACTCTCTTCACATGAACCATGATCTAACTCTACACCCTCAAGCAAAGACAAAAGGGAGACTAACTCCACCTTCTCCCTATCACCAAGACTCTTACAAAACCTAGAATCCCAGGAGAAAGAAGGAGAGTTATCTCGAATCATAGATGCAATAGAACTATAGAAGCATAAAAGTTGTAGCAAGTGCTATAAGGCGCTTTGTGAGTAAAAATTGAATAAGTTTTCACAAAATGCATCATTATCTCCAATTAATTCCTCCCAAAGTCCGAAAAGGCATAAATTGGAGCTATTATTATAATAGTACATTAAATTGATTTGTTTGAAGTCTTTTGAGCTCTTCTTTGTTCATTTTGACTGACCGATTGTATCCACCCTCTAGTATTTTTCAAACCCAAAATTAGGGAGTGTTATTGAGAAAATGAAGCCTTTCTAGGCGGGGATTAGAATCTCATTTTGGTAGATGGGTTCAACCAACTCAGAGATGGATACATTTCTTTAGTGTGCGAGAAATACAAGAATGACATCCCAAAAAATAGAAACCCTTGAAAAAAGAAAAGATGTAATTACTATCACACCCCAATTGTTTAGACCAATTTTAGGGGTCAAACACTACACTTACACCTTCTCTAATTAGTTGTTGTATGTGAAGTGGTATCCTTCTATCACGGGTCAGAGCTCTAATTACCTCGAAAATAAATAAAAATAATCTCCAAAATATACAAACGAATCTCCTCCAATTATATATTACAACGGAAACAAAAGATGAAAAACTCTAATTCTTTGAATTCTTAACTTTGATCATTTCCTTCTAGTTCATCATGAAAAATAATAAAAGTATGGAAGTGTACAATACAACTGGGAACAATATGCTTGATGATAAAATACGAATGATCTAATATTAAATAACTCAAATAGGGAATCGTGGACGATAGAATCAAGAATCAAATTCAACATGTTACATAGCTCAATTGTTATCAAACATAGTCTCATATTCGGTTTGGTATCATGATAAGTGACACTAGGGCATATGAATCCATACTCATACCGAATAATCACACCCAATAGGGCCATAACACACCTTATAGGGCCGCAATCTCATTTAACTAAATTTGCCCCAAGTATACTTCGCACATGTATCAATCAATTCTAAAGTATTTAGCCAAATTAAAGATCTGCTCAACAAAAGTTTCAGAGTTTCTTATCAACTGAAATAAGCATTAGGAATATAAATTTCGATAATCAAAGGATATTCCTTGCAAAGAGATTGAGAGATAGAAGCATATTGTATTATACTATCCCATACTTCAAATCAAGTGATAACCAATAAATTTGATCACCACCGTATTAAGAATAGCATGTACCAATTTCATAAAATTCGAGACTACAATCATCATCTAATTTTTGAACCCAAAGCCTCGTTATTTCTTTTCTCTTTTTTTTTTCCCTTTCTTCTTTCTCTTTCTTTACTTCCTTTCTTCATCTCTTTGTCCCATTTGTTCCCTGGCCAACTCTATTTATAGGGTGAGAGCCTTGGGCTCTAAAGTGTTTACATCACTTGCCTTAGCTCATTATAGTGATGCTCATATGGCATCACATGGACACTTGTCCATTGTTAGGTTTTGTTCTCTTTTTTTTTCCAATCCTAACATGACACTTGTCATTTTTTCTTACACACACACACACATATATTATGTATATTGACACTTTAAATATTTAATATTTAAAGTATTATTCCAACACGAAATATGATATATTATAGTCATGTGACTCTTTTTCACACAAGGAACCCATATCTGAGGTCCATTGATTTATTTAAAGTTTCTAAGAATAAAACTTAACAATATAGAACCATAGTTGACGCTCTAATTAATGTGTTAGTGATTAATTTTTATATAGGTTGTTACAAGCTATTTGGAGGGACTAAGGTCCCTATGGCCACATTTAAGGCTATTTTGCTAATTGATAATTTGAGGAGGCAGTGAAATATCAATCTAAGTTGGTATGGCATTTGCAAGAGGTAGCTTGGGAGCTATTATGTGCTTTCTTTGCTTTTGTTGGTAATTCTTGGGCTAGGTCTGCATTTGTGGAGGCCATGCTTAGAAGATGGAGAGGGGCTTATGCATGGAGAAGAAACAGAAGGATTGGAATTCAAACCCATTATGTCTTATGTGGTCTCTATGGAGGGAGAGGAATAGGAGTTAAATTCTTTTTGTACTGACATGCTTTCATAACTTATCAAATTTGAAGTTGATATGCATGTTGTAAGGATCACTATCTTTCTTGTGATCCCTATGGAAGAAATGCGTTCGTATAAGTGTTAATTTTTACTTTACTGTGTGTTCAGTGCAGCAGATTGGAGATATGCTGCTGAGCAGTTTGTTAAGAAGCTTCCAGATAAAGTTATTGTTCACCGTAAGAGTGCCTTTTTCACCTGTTCTTGTTTCTGTTACTTTGGATGAATATGGAAAATCCTTTGTTTGATTATCAGATACATATTCACGTTTGTTGTTGTTAGATGTCGATCTGCTTTGGTTTATGATCTATATGCAGCTAATAAACTCAACTCAATTTAACTCAACAAAGCCATCCTTAACTGATGGGATACTTAAAAGGATAGTTCTTGATATCATTGTTATTGTTTAATTATACTAACTACAACTTTTTTCCTGTCACAGATATACCTTAAATTACTTTAAACTGCCATATTTGGATGCATGCTTATGAAATTTTTAATGTTTGATTGGATTAGTTACATTTCACTTACATTGGAAGTTTTTGATGTCTGAGTGAATTGTTTATGTTTAACTTGCCTTTGGGTTTTTGATCCAAGTTTATGGGGTTGAAGAGAAACTGTGAACTACTCCTTATGCAATGAGTCGGTCGTTTTTTCAACCTCACAACCTTGTAGATAGAATAAATTCCTGTTTTCTCTTCTTCTTATTTTTTTTATCTTTATTGAGGTTATCTGGTCTTCCATATTTTGCTTCGTATGTCCTTTCCCTTTCTTAATAGTATTATTCTTTCATTATGAAAGAGTAGATTCCTATTTTCAGCGGTGACAAATTGGGGGAGCTTACAAGGGGTGGCCTTTTTTCAAGCCAGTTATGTAATTAATTATTGATATGTATATGAATGTCAATTGGGTAGGTTAATTTTGTTCCACAAGTGCTGCTGTTAATTTCATGGTTGTGTGTCGAGACTAATACAATGATCTAGAAGAAAATATAAACTACCACCCAGTTTAGTCCTTACCAATGGGGGTCTCAAAGGGGTATATTGGACACACGCCTAACCTTTAGTATTATTTACACAATGTTACTGCCCTCAAGTTTGAGCCACAAACAGTAAATGAAATTAACATTTTCTTCTTAAATAGAGAGAGGGGTCCAACTTGGGGCAAGCCTGCTTATTGGTCACCTCCTCTCATATCCTTTCTCTTCTCTGAATAGTAAAACATAGTATTAAGGCATTAATGTTGTATGCTTGAATCTTATTGCCTCCTGGACATTATGCGATTGGTACAAGTGGATTATCAGTTCATTTAAGGCCACATATGAGGGTACTATTACAAATCCCATTTTATCTTTGCTTTAAAACCTTACGTTTGTATGGAGATGTGATAGGTGAATTCAATCATGGTAGATGTTACGAAACTGTACAACAAATGCTCTATCTGTTTAAAAAATTGAGTTTATAAATTGAACAATTGACTAAAAACTCTCAGGTGCCAAAGCTGTAGTAATGTTTTCTGTGATCTTTAGTCAACCTGCATAATGAGGTGGCTGTATTAGTTACTTTTTCTTACCAAGCAACATAATACAACATGAGCAGTATTGGTACTTTGTGACATAGTATAATATCCTGCTTTGAAAGCTTAGGTTTTTGTAATGTGATTGGTGAAATTCAAGCATGATAGATGTAACGAACCTTTTGAAGCAACTAAACTAATTTTTTTCCTTGGGTGAACAAGGTGTACAAGGTACTATGTATATTATGTATACATGTATCTATCTTATACGTGTATCTAATAAATATGATTCATGTATTGAAAATGATGAGTAAATGTATTAGATAAAATTCATGTACATGTATGTAAAGAAAGAGGTTGGGCTGTTCAAGGCATGTAATTGCTAGCCGCTGCCTTTAAACCTCGACAATGAATGATCCAAGAAAAAGGTTTGGCCGACTTCCGTTTCACGCGGTTTTGGGTTGAGTACTGATGTGCAGGATTATGATCTTAAACTTCATCCAAAGATATAGATCCCCATACTAGATTGAGATTTAGGACACAAGCAACTTAATTTTTTTTCATTTTAACTTAATGATTTTCAAGCAGGTAGTGAGTGCAATTCTTCAAGGTTGACTTTGGATGGCGTAGACCGAATGGGTGAGAGGCTAGCTGATGAGGTATTGCGGTAATAGCATTTTGGTCCTCTGTTTCTGCAAATGCCTATCTATTGAAATTCATTGCAGTAAAATTAAGGAGTTTAAATTTTATAGGAAATAGAAACAAGGATAAAAATTTTGTTTCGGTGCATTATTTTGTTCACCTAGAAAACGGAAATGTTTCGGAAACATTTCGACTCGTTTCAAAAATAAAAAATTTAAAAATTATTTTTTCAAAATATTGGTCGAAATATACTAAAATGTCTTGAAATAATTATACAAATGGATTGAAATATAAAAAAAAATTTGAAACATTATAGAACACCTTGAAATATTAGAACTTCAATTTCATCATTAAATCATTTCGGTCTCCTTGGAACCAGAAACATAGTAGACGTTTCGATCATTTCGAAATGAAATTTGTTTTCTTAGATTCAAGAAAACTATTAGGTTAGGAAATTATACGCCTTGTATACTTTATGATGCAGGTGGTGGCTGTTGTCAAACGTTGGCCTGGTTTGCACAAGATCTCCTTTGTGGCTCATTCCTTGGGTGGCCTTGTTTCAAGGTATGCTATTGGGAGGCTGTATGACCTCTTTCCTAAACCGGGCTCGTTGGGTTTTGTTGGGAGTTGCACAAGTGAAAATCAATCAAACAATTCAGCACAATGCTCTGAGCATGGTTTTGAAGTTAGAGTTGCTGGTTTGGAACCCATGAATTTCATAACATTTGCTACCCCACATCTTGGTGTGAGGGGACATAAACAGGTAAATCAGTCATTCATATATGTGCTTTGCCCAGTTTTAATTATATTTCTTATGTTCTTTTTCATATTTTTCTTGGCATATGTGGCGTTGCTTTCTCCATGTGTTCTTTTAAGAGAGATTTTGAAATGTGTCCTGCTTTTTTTTTTTTTTATAAAAGACTAGCAATTGTCCGTGCTCGAAGGCATGATGTTACTTATAAATAAGTTACATACATTTGCCCATATATAAAAGTAGAATTTGACACTAAAATAATTATTCAAATCACCATTATATCATAGTCAAGACTACACATAATTATTTACCATCACAACAGATATAATAGTAGTAATTGCAACCATGCAAATAATTAAGTATTAGATTTTGTATTAAATATTCCAGAATCAAACATATGATTTAAGTTCACGGAATACTACATTTGTATGTAGTATTAAACAATATAGTTAATGGATCAATGTTCCAGTAGTTCATTGAACTTTCTCTTCATCACTTTGTTGAATGTTCTTGTGTCAATACATATGCGAAACTGCAAGTTGGGAGAATGTGCAATAACTTAGTTTTACAGAAAGAAATAAAAATAAATCTTAGTGTAATATATTACTTATAAAAAAATACAGTTTGTTGTAACCAAGGTTTGAAATATCATGTCAAAGCGTCTGAAACGTTTTGAATTTTCAACACACCTACACGAAACAGTGGTGGAAAACTAAAATTCCTATGCTTCGAGAGAAACATTAATGTTTCGGACCGTTTCGGTTAAAACGGTAAGGTTTCGACCGAAACAAGGACTTGGTTCGACTTGCAGTGTCTAGACTCCTAACTTGTCCAGCCAAAAAGGGGAGAGTTTCTTCTTCTGTGACAGCCTTCTCCAGCAAAATAGAAGAGAAAGAGATAGAAATAAAGACAAGCTTAGAAATCAAAAGGAGATGAGTCACTAGTTTATCAGGGGTTGTCCTTTCTCCAGATCTAGCCTACGATCTTCTTCTTTTCTCTTCTTTTTCTCTACCGGTGGCTAGTGTTGTTCTTCATCGATCTGTCTTCTCTCTCTCTCAGATATGAGGCTTCATCAATTGAAGTCTTCATCGATCAAAGTCTTTGATCTTCGACCTGTCTTGGAGTCGATGATCTTCTCTCTCTTTCTCTTTCTCTTTCTCTCTGGTTGAGCGTGCGACTGGAATGGTGTGGTCACCACTTGTTTAATTTCCTTCCCACTTTTTATTTTGTTTTAATTAATATTAATACCATTTTAGCCTCTTTTTTTTCTTTTATAATTGTTAATGGCCCCCATAATTAATAAATAGCTTATTATTGTTAATTAACTTATCAAAATAATTGCAATTAATTTTATGGTATATTTAATATCTGAAATTAAGTATTTATATTTGTAAAAATTATTCATGCAAATTTTTAATATTAATGAAATAATATTACTTGGTAACTTGATGACACAATTTAAATTAGTAATTTAGTATTATAATAATATGCAAATAATAAATTTGTACTCATTTTAATTTAGAGGTGTTATACATGTCATATTTAATTAAAAATGATCATATATACATGTAAAAATATGTTTGTTTTATAAAAATTAAGTGTTTAAAACTAATTGAAGTGATTTTTGCCAAGTGTCAAACCCTTGTTTTGCCTTCAACATGATGCTATTTTGTATAAATGGACATTAACCCAATAAACATGCTCAATTAATCAATTATTAAACTTATCTTTACAAATAAATAGATTGTATTTGTGTTTTCACGTGTTTTCATATTTTTTTCACGTTCTATTGCGTTTTCAAAACGTTTCCATTTTTGAACTGACCGAAGCGGTAATTCAAAACGATATTTTGATCGTTGGTTGTAACAGTGTAATGATCGAGTTATCTTATTACGATATCCCCATCAGTGAAATCACATTATATTTATTTTTTTCATCTCTTTAGCCAATTCACACAAATCCTACAAATATTGAATGATAATGTAAAGTTAACGTGGTTATTTCATCCCGTTCAACAATGTATAAGAAAAACATTGTAAATACTCTTGACTCAATTTACAACTTCTACAACAATAATAAAAAATTTCACATGTTTAAACAAATCAATCATATAAACGTATCAAATTTGTTTTCAACCCATATAACATAATTGCGTAGTGCCCACAAAGCATTATGTAGAACACAGAATAAAAACCAACTATAAATTTAGCTTAAAAGAAACAATCTAATTTTCATCTTCACTTTTACTAGTTCATAAAAAATAGGTTGAATCAATTTACAACTTCTCAAAGAATTGTCAAAAAAGTTTCAATAAGTTTTTTTTTTTGTCAATCGCAACAGTAGGAGCTGTGGTGTCAATTTAAACTCACACAGAACTCTTTGAATTATTATCACCATAGATGTTTAGGTATATGCATAAACATAGGCACATAGCTTGGTCATCATCATCCTATATAGAAAACAGTAGTAGAACATGTATATCCAAATGAATTAACAAATAGTGCAGACTGATCCAAAAAAGCCAAGAACTATTCAAAAAAAGGTCAAAAACCACAAGGATGGAATTAAATATCTAAGACCAAATTCAAAAAAGCCATAACCCCCCAATTCGGCAAGAGGGTGAGACCGAGAGAGAGAGGGGAAAGTGTTGTGTGGGGGCAGCAGCTTCACCTGTGCGTGAGTGACACAGTGAGTGTGTGTCGTTGTGTGAGTCGTGATAAACATAACATGGCCATCATCATCCCAAAGAGAAAAAAAATTGTAGACCTTATATATACACCCATCCAGTAGAACATCCGAATGAATTACCAAATAGTAAAGACCCATTCAAAACAACCAATAATGATTCAAAAAAAAGCCAAAAACCTTAAGGATGGAATTAAATATCTCAAACCCAATTCAAAAATTACAAAACCCCTAATTCAGCTAGATGGTGAGATCGAGATCGAGAGAGAGAGAGGTGGGGGGGGGAGGAATGTGTTATGTGTGGGCAGCAGGTTGCGCTTATGCTTGAGTGTGTGTGTCGTTGTGTGAGTGGTGAGTATTTGTGTCGTGTGTTTGGTTGTGTGCATCGAGTGTATGTAGAAGGGAGCAGAAATGGAGAGCTTGAGGGAAGGAAGACATACCTGGTGGAAAGGAGGCAGCAACGGCTAAAGGGAGAGAGAGTCAAGCAGAATGGGGAGGGAAAGAGAGCCAAGCAGAATAGGCAAGGAGCAGTGGCTGAAGGGTTCTTGACTCTGAATTTGGGAAGCCATTAGGGCACACATTGGGTGGAATTTTTTGGAAATTTGCAACAAGTTTGGAAAGCCATTTTTAGGGGATATATGAAGCAGGTGAAGGGATCTTGAGCATGATTTTTGGGAAGCCTTTAGGGCATGAGTCGGGTGGGAAATTAGGAATGAAATTTCAGGGAGAGAGAGATGGGGGAGTGATAGCAGCTCTGCAAAGAGAGAGTGTGAATTGAGTGGGAAGCAAATTAGGTAATGAATTTTGGAGAGAGAGAGAGAGAGAGAGAGACCGAAGATCTTGAACAATCAGAATGACATGTTAATCAAAGTAATTTTAGGCAGTTAATTTCGGTAATGAATTTCGAGGGAGTTGGAGGGCCTGATTTTGGGAGAATTAAAAATAGAAACTGTGATGAGCAGGAATTTTTTTTTCATAAATGAATGTCGTGCGTTAGATCAAGAATTTTGAGATGATCTGAGATGTCAATAGCTTGAGACGTTTTGGGATAACATCATCCATCAGATGATGCATTTTTTGGTCTCAAAATGATCTGAGCTGCTCTTTACCTCTTAGATTCAAAATCGTTCTGCTTTATTATATAGATGAACATGATAACAGCTTCTTGATTCTCATAATAGCAAGTTGTGGAGAAAACAAATAAAGAAGAAATCAAAGATATGTATTTGTCATATTATTCATGTATTCTGTTTCTGCTTCGATAGCTCCCACTCCTCTGTGGTCTTCCTTTTCTGGAAAAAAGAGCATCTCAGACTGCACACTGGATTGCTGGAAGATCTGGGAAGCATCTCTTCCTGACTGACAACGATGATGGGAGGCCTCCCCTCCTCCTCCGGATGGTCAATGACTCTGATGACCTTAAATTCTTGTTAGTATATATTTTTCACTGCGCTGTAACTTTCAAAAAATTTTGAACTGTATGACTACTTTTATGTCAATTGCATCATTTGCAAAATGTGTAGGTCGGCTTTACGTACTTTTAAGCGTCGTGTGGCATATGCGAATGCAAGTTATGATCGTATCCTTTTGGTACAAGTTGGTTATGGGTTTCTTATTTCTTGCAGAAGCATTAAACCTTTGTTTTACTCACTTTGTGATTTATTTGTTATCTTTACCCATCTTTAAGATGTGGTTGGATGGAGAACATCATCAATCCGCCGCCAAAATGAACTTCCAAAGGTTGGTTTGTTTTCATACTCATTCTCATTTTGTCACTTGACTGCTTATGCTTAGTATCTCGTACATTTCCTACAATGTCAAAATCCGCAAGATAATTCTTGTCTTTCTATTTTTATTTTATAGAAGTCCGATCTTCTTGTAAATGATGAGAAGTACCCACATGTTGTACATGTTGAACAAGGTACTGCTAAAGACAACCATAATAAGGCATCCTCAATGGTTGGAGTACAGATAATTGACTTGGAAGGTTTGTCAATTTTCTTCATTTCCTGCATAAAGAATCTTGATGCTGAGTGTTAAGCATAATTATTGGATTAGACACTAGGCATATGATAAATGTTCTTGGAGGGTTCCACCCTTGTTTGTGCCAGGGAACCTTCTTCTGAAACTGTTGCTTTTGTACCAAAAGAAGACTGATTTGTGAATACCTGAATGGTGGAAAGAACGAGTATGGAAATGATAGCAGATACGATTTTGGTCTTATTCATTTGTCATGGAATTAAACCTGAGTTAGCACCTTGTGTTCTTGTGTATTCATGTACGTTTTCTGAACTGATTATGGGAAGATTCCTATTTCCTAGATGCTCGTGGATTTATATCTTCCTGTTCTTTTGGATTTTTTAGTTCTCAATCCAATTCATCAGCTGGCTCCCATTCCAAACTCAAAACTTTTGGAGGGGAAACAGCCCTTTCTGTTTCCTCAGTCCCTTTTTTCTTAAAGGGTTTTTTTTTTCCTTTCATTTTGATTCTTCTTAAAAAGGGTTTTGAGGAAAGAAATGTGGTGGTTCCTTTTCTTGCAAAGTTTTTTTTCATTCCTTCTATCCAACATATATTTATACAACCTACATTTTGTATGCATATACTTAGAGCTCCAAAGCTTGCCCAAAGTGAAGGCTCCCACTCAGATCATCTATTACTGTTAAAAAATCAAATACTTGATTATGGTCAGTAAATTGGTGATGATTCTGTGTGAAGAGTAAACGGTGGCTTGGGTTTTAATCGAATTGGGCATTAACCAAATTCAATATTGAATTTTTGTTATGCTTACACATTTAGTCTAGGAGTTGTCTAAGGTCTAGAATATAAAGATATATTTTACTTTTGAACATTTATTTTGTATGATTGAAGTTACTTAGTGCTCTGAATTGCATGTAATTGATGTAAATTTTGATTATATTCAACAAGTAACGTTCTAGGAAGTCAGGGCATTACAAACACCCAACCCTCCTTGGATTGTGTGTGACTAGAGGACTATCTTGTGCAACGTTCAAAGTATTGGCGGATATTGATACGAGTTAGTTGAGTCGTATCTGACTCAACATCTTCTAAGCCGATACCACTTCACTTTACATGAAAACCTCAAGTTTCACATGACTTGGCCGAATAGTTGAGACGTCTCCGAGTCATCCATGGGTTGCAGAGTTATCGTCACCGAATCAGCCGATATTGTTTCGCGATAACGCAATATTACTTGAATTTCTAGCTATGCCCAATTTCTTTTGCTAGGTTGTATCACCCGATACTGTTCCATAACACCGCACCCAATGTGTCAAAGCCCTCAGAATTAATGGCCTATACCACAACCTTGAACCATGAGCTTGTGCCCCTTCTGTATTGTTGATTGTTTTGCGGGGTTAAAAGTTAGGATTCACTAGGATTGGTCTATTTATTGCAGCTATATAGGCGATTAGGAGGACTAATATTTAAGAACCTCAAGTGTCGAGCTGCTCTGATGCTTTTCACGTGAGGATAATTTTAGCAACTTTCTCGCGGTCTTCTACGGTTCCTTAACTTAGATGCGTGTCTTATTTGCTTGGCATAGCTTGGTTGCTATATCTCCTCTTGTTTGGTATCCTCTTGCAAGTTTGAGTTAAATTTTGATGTCAATTGGTTATTTGTGGCATTTATGGAGATCTGTTTGGGGGAAATATTATCTTTATTTCTCAAAACCAGCAGAATAAGAAAGTTGTCCAAAATTGAGTTTCTCTATCTTCTTCAAACTCATTGTATAGTAAGTTAATAAACCCCCCTAGGGAAATAATGAAGAAAAAAAAATTGGTGTTTAGGGAACTTTTGGAACAAATTTTTCGATGGGGATGGTGCTATTTTGATGGCCTCCAATCACAAGTCAACAATTATTTCATTGAATTTTTGCCTTTTTGTTGGGCTTCATTTTCCATGGTTGTTTTACTTTTATTGCATTGTTAGAATTAGAAATATGTTGTCAAAGACAGAGGCTATGGTCTTGTTCATTTGAATTTGTTAAAAAAAAGGCTAATGAAATGGCCTTATTCTCCTCTAAAGTGGTTGCTAGGGTTAGCAATGATGTATTCACATTTTATTTGGTTAATTGGAGGAGGATTTGTTGCTTTAAAGTGGTTGGGCTTTCATCATTGTAGACAGCTCGGCTCGGTGAATAGCTTAGGAGTACTTGCTCATGTTGGCTATTAGACCCACTTGACCACACTTTGTGGAGGAGAATATCTAAACGTTGTTGAAATAGCAAAAGTGGGTATAAGGCTATTTATTATATGTTTTTTTTTAATATAGGAAACATCAAATTTTCTTAATCCAGAAAGGAAAATCAACATAAGAGGATAAGGAGCCGTCTCGATAAAAATTACATACAAAAAAGATACATACAATAAAAGAAAGAGATTAAACGCAAATCTGTAAATGTAGCAATAGAGACAAAATAGCAAAATCCCAAGCCTCAACTATTGGCACACACTTGTGGCCAATGATCCTTGATAAAAAAGAAAGGTATTCCTTTAAAATCCTTCATCGTAGTAATTCAAAGAGTAAGCAATGTAAGTGATTTTATCCCATAAATCTTCCAAGTAGTCTCTCACTGTTCAAAAATTTGTCATTTTTGTCTCAACAACCTGCTCTACAATTTATGGACATAAGAAAAATGAAAAAAAGATGATTCATACTTTTCTCCCCACCTTTACACATAGAACTCCATTGTGGTAATAGACAATATAAAGCTCTTATCTTTTGTAATACATCGTTAGTATTGAATCTCTTATGTGCAAGCAAACAAGGAAAAACTTGTACCATTAAAGGAGCCTTAGACTTCCAAATTGTTAATGCCGGTTTGAAAATTGTGAAGCTAGGTTTATCAATCAAGGCCTCAAAAAAATATCTACAAGTAAACTGTCCTGCGTTTTTTTAGTCTTCATTATTTACTCCCTTTTATTTTAGTAGGCGTCAGTCTTCTTCATCTGGCCGCATTGCATCAATGATCAACTTTCTTCGGTCTAAAGGAGAATGATTCAACCCAACATTATCAAGGATACCCAAAAGGGTAGACAACTCAACAATCTCTCTCATTAAGGTTTCTAAAGAAATCAAAATTCAACTAATTGTCATAGAAGACAATGATGTCATACTTGAAATAGAGGAGTGGTGATTTTTAAACAACCTATATAAACAAGGCAACATGGACACAAATAACGAAACACCCCCCCCCCCCGCAGGGCCAAGTATCCTCTCATTGCATTCTTAACATGGATAGAGAAAGTAGATAAGCACTATGAAATGTACTTCCAAGGGCAATGAGGACACCTTCTCTCACTCACTTTGGAATTCCACCCATTTTGTTGAATCACATAGTTACTTTTAATCACAGCATGCCATAGACTACTCATCTCAATGGGAAATCTGCACAACCATTTGGCAAGCAAGAAAATGTTTCTAGCCTTCAAGTTGGCAAAGCAAGACCCAAGACCCCCCTTCCTGTTGCTTCGGAGTACCAAATCCCATTTCACCAAATGATCTCTCTTATCTTCTCCACTACCCTCCCATGAGAAATCCCTCACCATCTTTTCTATATTTTTCACAACCTTCATAGGCACCCTAAATAGAGACATATAAAAAAAAGGGATAACGTGAAGAACTGAAAGAATTAAGGTGACTCTGCCGCCCCTAGGCAAATAAGCTTTCTTCTAACTATCTAACCATTTCCCAATCTTTTAGATCACCGGCTCCCAAAAACTTAAGGAATTTGGGATACTGGACAGTACTACAAGCTTGTAGTACTGGAGTTTGCTTGTAGTATTATTCTGTTTTCCTTATCTTTTGGTCATGCTTTGTTGGCACTTGTCAAGAGAGATGTGTTAATTTTGCATTGCATAGGATGCAATGCATGCTGGTCTCCCCCGGGGTGAAACTTTTTGCATGGTCATAGCATCAATAAACGATCTTGACCGTTGAACGTCTAAGAGGCAAAATTGGTCCATCTCAAACTGCTGTGTGTGGTAAAACTGCTGCCATGATTCAGTGACCATCTCTATTTCACTCTTCAATTTCCTTTCTTCCTGTCTTATGTTTCCTCATCTTGGTAATGACCGTGTGCTTCCTCCAACAAATTCAGTGAACTAAAGGCTTTTTGCAAGATGAGAAGCAACTTTTGGAGGACTATCTGTTTCGACTTTGGTGGGTATCAGGGAACGAAAGACATCTTGTCTTCTATTGTACTTTAGAGGGTGAGTTTTGTGTCTACTTTTTTAGCGAGAATACGGACCATTACTCAAGGTCATGATGAAGTATCTAGCTGTCAAGCTGTGAAATGCGAGCTTGAGAATCAGAGCAACCACTCTGTGTTTCCATAAGAAAAGGGTGCTTTCAATCCGAAGTGATATAAAAAGAAAAAAGGAGCATGGACTTATGCTAAAATAAATAAATTTCTGCCTAGTTTGAGGGCTGGTGTTTACGTGCATAACCCACCTTTCCGAGCAATATTTATGCAGGGGCCTAATCCTTGGTAATCGCCTCATATGCTTTAAGGATCTTTGAAACGAAGAAAAAAAAGAGAATTGTGAAACCATTAAGAGGCTTCCACACACACACACAAGAGCGAGAGAGGGGGAGAGATCTGCGGACATACAAGGTACTGTCCAGTTCTTTGTATCACAGTTACAAATGAAACATTCAACACTTGCTACTTATCAAGGAGCCAATTTCTTCCGCCTTCCGTAAACAAACAAGAGGGCGGGTGAATGCTTGATCTTCATACACAGCAAAATCCAGTGCAGCATATTGAAGGTCATCTTCATCTGCCACAGCTAGAAGCTAGATATTGTTCAAAGTTTACTAACTGGAAAAACAAAATATAATTTCAGATTGGATTGTAGTTAGGGCCAATGCAGTAACAAAAATACGTGTTGGTAGTTTCTAAGCTAATATCCAGCAGCTTTCTTATTGATTTTTTGCGTGATACAACATTCACTATGTTCTATGGAACGACAACATTTTCCTTGACGATACCAAATGCAAAGGTTTTTTTATAGAATACATAACAAGGCAACACCAATCTGCTTTGCTGCAAACTTGCATGTATTTTCCATGCCTAATTTTTGCCTATTACTTAGCCAAATTATGCAATCATTTTTTATCATCTGTCTATTTTCTGGTATATCTTGCTTTATTTTTGTTCTGATTAGAACCCCCTTTTTGTATATATAGAGGAGATGATTAGAGGTCTAACTCAAGTACCTTGGGAACGTGTTGATGTTAGCTTTCAAAAAAGTCGGCAACGATATGTTGCACACAATACCATCCAGGCAAGCTCTTGTACTGGATTGTTTACCTGCTGTGTGTAATCTATGTCCCTTTTGTTTTATAGAATTATAATATTCAACTTTCTAATACTTGCATAGATTAGTTTGGATTCATAAAATGGACATCAGTATCTTGATGGATGAACACCCTCATTTTATTGCCGTTTTGTCTTTCTTTAGCATGCTACTCATTTTGAACTGCATTGCATATGATTAGTTGAATGTAAGTTTTGATGCCATTGTGAAAATTATGAAAAGCAGTGTTTGAAATAGATGGCTTTTCTCGTGTTTTCCAAATTTAAAGCATGTAAGTCATTGTTGTGCAATATTCACATTTTACGCCTATGTGCTACCAGGCAATGCTTGAAAACTAAGGAGGACAGGACACTTTTAGGTAGGAATTATTTCATTCTAGACAGATGTCAACGCAGAAACTGCTGTTCGTATCTTCAATGTATCCCCAATTGGATGTTAAACTCTTCCAGTTAGACATGTGGACATTGAGTTGTATGACACATAAATATGATTACTATGATAAATTGTAATAAATGCTTATTTTGGGTTGTCTTTATTTTCATTTATTTCAAGTTAATTAGCACAATGCTGGTCTGATTAATTTGTCTTTTTTAAGTTTACTAAATTGTATATGCGATTGTTGGTTTAACTCAACTTGAACTATAACAGTGGTCCATGGTTAATGCATGCATATTATTGGGGACCAAAAATTTAGAAAATTTAAGGGGAATAAATTTTCGGAATGTTGATTGAAATTGTGGGGAGACACTGGCAAGAGTTTTTAATGATCTATGATATTTTGCAGTTCTTAATATGTCTGCTTCTTGTAAGTTAGTTGTAAGCTGCTGTGTCATAGGTCGTCACTTGTTAGCCACCTAGTAATATAATTACTTCATTTTAAGTACTTGTCTACCAAGTGTCCTCCTTAGTTATATCCATATAAACGGTTGCAACTCCCTGTTTGATGGATAAATGAGTTGGGAGAGGATTGTAGTCTTCAGTGGTGTTGGGGTGGCGAGATGTCACACTACATTTTGTGGTGTGATTTTTCAAGATTCTAGATCAGAATAGTGGTTTTTCTTACTCTATTGCAACAAGTAAACTTGGTTTCACCTAGTCACTCTAACCTCAGTGCTATTCATAATGAAATACAAGCTTTGAAGAGGGCATACCTATCTTGTAGTGGTTGAGTTTACCCCAGATTAATTATATACCTTATTTGATGCTTAATTGGTTCAATATACGAAGATTTAAGTATGCAGTCTGTACTGTACTGTTGGTGTGAATTGATTTACCTAAAAAAGTTATTGTGTGAATTGGACTTCAATGGATTGAACAAAAGAGGGAGTTTCTGAGAGATACTGAATGTAAGAGAGGATGCAGTAGCTATTTAGTCTTGTAAACCACTTCACAGTACTCTCCTAAGAATTTCAGGTGTTTGTGAAGCAGGCCTGCTTGACTTAGATCCAGAATTGAGGAATCCCTTGAAAATGTTTGAATGGTGGATTCAGGGATCCATCTCATAATATTACATTGGGATCTTGACTCAAACACGAATGATCCATATTGTGTTGTTCTCAAAGGCAACTTGGCAAGGTGTACTTGGTTACACTGATGCTTTTTGATCTCTAGCGGTCAAGAATCAAAATTTCATTTTGAAACGGCCAAAATGTTTCTATTTCAAAAGAGACCAAAACAAATCATTGACTGAATTGAAATTCTAATGCTTCGAAATGTTTCGGAATATTTCTAGATATTTTGTCATGTTTTCACCGTTGTTTCAAGTTGTTTTGTCATATTTCCACCGTTGTTTCAAGATGTTTTGTCATGTTTCAATATGTTCGGGTATATTTTGACCAATATTTTGGATTGTTTGAAAATAATTTTTTATTTTTTTATTGGTTTTAATTATTTCCAAAATGTTTCCAAAAATTTTCTGAAATATTCATTTTTGAAATATTTTTGTTTCCTAGGTGACCGAAACAATTAACCGAAACAAAATTTTGATCTTGGGGGAGGTTCTTCAAAGCACGTGCACATTGTTCTAGAAGTATATCACTTATCCTTCACCTCTCTTCTTTGTATTTGATAGAAGTGTTTTTATTTATTAGGGTAAAGAAATAAATAAAAAGGGGCATTGCCCATATTTAGTCCTTAATGTCCACAGGAGCAGTGGTGCTGGTGGGGAGGGGAGACCTGACTTAAGGCTTTAATTTTTGGAAAGTGGTTATCTTCTATTCAAGCTCAAGGTTATCTTCTATTCAAGCCCAAGTTCTCACACTCATAGAGGCAACCTCAACCTTTTAGCACTACCCCAAAAACTAACTCCTTCTCAGTAGTGAAGATGAAGGGAAAAAAGAATAAATTAATTCTGCAACTTCTCAGGAAGAACATAAAATAATGCGAGTTCTGCTTTCCATAAGAACACTTGTGCTTGTAAAACCTTAAGAACATGAAAATACAACTGCTTATTCACTTGTATTCAAAAACAAATTGTTGGTTGAAATAACTCAAAGAGACACCCAATGACTGAAGTATCTTCAGCACCTGGCTTACAACCATTTTTAATGAACCAGCATTTGCCCAAATTTTCAGAAAAGGACAGTTTAACCCCTCCTTCCCACCCCAAAAAAAATGAACCAACAAGTGGCAAACAGACAGAGACATGCACAAGACATTGTCCAAAGAAAAATAAAAGAATAGGAAATTTCAAATAACAATTTATTATGAAATAAACTTTTCAAAAACAATTTAGGAAAGGACACCGAATTGTCTTAGTTTCTTAAGAATGTGTCGCCAATGACACCACATCAATCTGGTCATTGACTTTCTGTGTTCTTTTTCAATCTCTTCCTGGTTATGCTTGAACTTAATTTGACGAGCTCATTGTGTGCTTGTCTTTTAACTACTGTTTAAAGAATCTTTCATGATTAACCTAGCTTTGCTGTAGGCAAGCCATGAACACCACGGCATCCCTTCACCTTGTATGTTCAAGATTGAGCACGTAGCAAGGCTAGGGGATTAGCACCTATCCTTGCTGGAGCCATTTATGAGTGCACTTAAGTTCTTTCTTCACCAGACACCGCTCCACTGATGCTGAGCTTCTTTTATGTCTGTCCTCAATGAGACCACATTAAACCTGGTCATTAAATTAATTTTTTTTCTAAGACAGTAGGGAAACATTGTAGAAAAACAGTAACCATCTTATCATATATTTGTCTGGTCAGTTCATCCAAAGCTCTGCTATCTAGTGACTCGAATCCAATGCTTAATGTGAAGTGTTTCTGATTTAAACTTCATGGTAGGCGTGAGTAAATTGAACTTAATTTTTAATTGTGCTCTCTCTGCTAAATATTTTAGGATTTTGGGAGCCCACTGTTTTGAGTGACATCGATTTGCATGCCTTTGACATCTTTTTTTAATCTTTTCTCTAGAATGCTTGTTAAAGAATACAAACCATATATTTGATATATTTAGGATATATAGGGAGTAGACGAGTAGTATGGTTTAATATGGTCATGCAAGATGATGGTTGCTGACAAGTTCTTTCTTTCTCCTATTTTTCTTGATATTCTCCTCCTCTTTTCTTTTTTGTCTGCTCCACAAGTCCAGGTGAAGAGCTATTGGCTGAATTCTGATGGTGCGGACGTGGTATTCCATATGATAGATAACTTCCTTCTCTAGGTGAATGTCTTGCAGTTGATGTTCTGGTGACGGGTTAGATTGCTTGTCCCTCATGCATCACATTCAGTATTACACATTAATGTGTATACAAATATTTTTTGGAGACTTAATCATATTGCCAAATTGGTCAGACCTGTTTCCTAGTTAACTCATTTTGTTTGCATGTCTTATGTCTTTGTTTACTAGATATTTTCTTTGTGATCAGTGTGTATTTCTCACTGTAAGAAACATGAATTTGCATGAAGAGCAGAAAATATTTGTCTGTGTTATTGCAGTTTGTCAGGAATATGGTGTTATTGTAACCAACCCCAGTTTTTGGGCTTTGAAATCACTGCAGGAATCCCAATGTTGGCTTTGGGATTATGTTGGTTTATGAATGCCATCACTCATTTGAATTATATTGGCTTTACTTAACCTTATTTTCAGCTTGCTGTATTATTACTGTGTGTGTAGCCATACTCCATTGTGCCCTTAAATACCACCGTAGCATACAGGAAAGGATTTGTCACATATCACTTAAATAGAGATTTGCATCTCATCGACTATTATCATTTCTCTGTCATTCCATTTCCTCTTATATTTATGTTTTAAATAGTTCAGCTCGTGTACATCCGAAGGCTTGTGAGGTGAGAATTTTTAAAAGAAAAAAGAAACAAACCGAGTGCAGGGAAAAAAAAACAAAAGAAACCAACTTTCACAGCCTGCTGCTTTCTGTTCCAAGGTATACCCTACTCCGTTGCTAATTATCATGACATGACCGCTGTTTAGTCACACACACAGACACCCCCCCCCCCCCCCCCCCCAAAAAAAAAAAAAGTTGAAACTGGCTAGTAAACATTTCTCAGTAAACTCTCTGTTCACCCTCCTTATAATATCCCTTTATATATTCTTCAATTCCTGCACCAAAGGCACTTCAAAGGGAATGATGAACCTAAGGCTTTATAAGATGCTTTTGGCAAGGATAAGCCTTTCTCCATATCTCCAATTGATCGGGATTATTGTGATTGATAATGTGAGAAGCTGCTAAAATGAGACCTTAATTAGAATTCTAACTCAGGGAACTCCAATGCACAAGATATCAAATGTATGGTGGAGCTTGAACACCTTGATCACACTTTGCTAGAACATTGTGGTCTTGACTCTTGACTGCAGATCACTCTGTTTTCTCATTTCTCATGAATTCGCTGAATTTTCCATTTTCTATCACTGTCCAGGAACCCATCAACCCCAGTACCAATATGCACAATTCATCTAGATTTGATTCTGTTGCACTATATTCATTGATAGCGGCAATTAGTGGTTTACGTTGGCATTATTTGAGATTCTTTGTGATCTGAAATTTG